GGGAGACTTACCAAGAAAGTCTTAAACTTGTTGCAATTGTGCCAATTTAGTCCTAAACCTTTTTTTTGGCCAATTTAGTCCTAAATCTTTTGAATTTGTGTTAATTCAGTCCATCCAGTCAATTTTGACAGTCCGACTCTGACGTGGATTTTTTAAATGATTTTTTTATAACTTTTTCACCTAGTGTTGCACGCCCTCGCCGGCCCTAAGTGGAGGGAAAACATTAACGAAAAGAAAAGAAAAGAGAAAAAAATATAAAAAAATATAAAAAATTTATTTAAATATTGAAAGTCCATGTCAACGCTGACCGGCCAAAATTGGCCGGATGGACTGAATTGGCACAAGTACAAAAGGTTTATGACTAAATTGATACAATTGCAATAGATTTGGGATTTTTTTGGTAATTTTTCCTCATGTTTATGTACCATAACTCATACTTATCAAATCTCAACTGTGAATATCGTAAAGTCTTCAACAAACGAAAGGAAGAGAGCTCGTCATCCAAAAATAATTTCATATGATCGGACCACCTACCAGGGCTTCGGGTCACGACTCACCTGGTCCATGATCTTAACGGGGTATTTTCTAGGCTTAGGATTTACCTAATTAATAAAAGGAGCTAAGGCGATCTTCGTCGTCATTAAGAGGCATAAAAAGGCCACTTTTCGGAGCAACTCCTCAAACCAAATGAGCACATTGTACGCACTTCAAGAGTGATGTTTAGTGTAGTTTAGGGCAACTTCGCGAGCAAGGATGTGGGGTCACGTAACGTTGATGATTTCGTGTTCATGCTTAGTCGTAAATTAAACTGACATAACCAATTCAATCTCTCTCTCTCTCTCTACCTCTATGCAACTAACATATGTTTGTAAGAGATCATGTTGTGTGTTGTGTCGAAAGTTCCTTGCACGCGAAGCTGACATTAACCTACTCGAATGAAATGAATCTGCATTGAAAGGAGGTCTACGCTATCTTTACAAAGGCAAAACTCATTCGGAAGTGCCCAGGTTATCTTCACTGGAATATACACTTTACAGAAAGGCATGACCGAATGCTTGGTATATCTCTCAATATGAAAGGTAGAATCTCCAGTTGGATCTGTCAAAGGCCCATAAGAGCTATCGGAATTGATCTAGTGAATTGGTTATGTACATGTAAAATGTGAGTGAACGATAACATCATAATCATTGAATTTCATAAGATCAAAATCGGCAACTATGATGGGGTACAAAAATGTTAGTGTTGAATGGTCGATCCTCGAAATTCATAAGATAGAATAAGATTTAGGGTGCGTTTCTTTTGCGGAAAATGAATTATTTGAAAATCATTTTCCTATAAAAAATTACTTGTATCTCTTAAAAAAATAAATTAATAAAAAAATTTCATCATTCACATTCATTTTAAATCATAAATTGTTATCGATAATGAAAATATTTTACTAATTATTTTAAGTGGTACGAACGATCTTTTTTAGGAAAATATTTTTCAAATCATTTATTTTCCATGTAACAAACGGAGCTTTACAAACAACTGTTGTAAGGAGCTTGGGGGTAAGTCTACAGCCAAGACGAAACTTCTTTACTTCTTGGAGGGGTGAATTCACTAAAAAACCCCAAACTTTGGGTCAAGTCCCAAATCTGTCCCGAACTTTTTTTTGTCTAAAAAAAAATCCAAACTTTAGGTCCAGTCCCAAATCTACCTCGAACTTTTTTTTTTGTCTTAGAAAAAATCCTAAACTTTAAGTTCAATCCCAAATCTGCCCCGAATTTTGTTTTGTGTAAAAAAAAAAAAGCAAATTTCAATTTATTTTCAAAAATATACCCCGTGATCCGGTCCCAACTTGACGCGGCTCTTCCACATTTATAACAAATCCACATTAGCAAAGTAATGGGGCGATAGATACAGACCGACATTGCATTTTCACTTCGATAACAAATTCAACCCTATAAAAATTAAAACCATTCTAGGATATGAAAGTTAGGGACGATAACAAATCCACCCCAATTTTTTTCTTAATTTTAAAAAAACTAATTTTTAGGTTATGTCCAAATTTACTCCGAACTTTTCTTTATCCAAAAAAAAGTCCCATTACTTTGTTGATGTGGATTTGTTATTGACGTGTAAGTGCCACGTCAAGTTGGGACTAAATTACGGGGTCTATTTTTTAAAACAAATTGAATTTTGGTGATTTTTTGCACATAAAACAAAATTCGGGGCAGATTTGGGATTGAACTTAAAGTTTTGAATTGTTTTTTAGACAAAAAAAAGTTCATGACAGATTTGGGACTAGACCTAAAGTTTGCGATTTTTTATCTGTCTTATCTCAACACTCCTCACTCTCTGACTTTTGTTCGGTCTCTTGCAAAGCGCGGAAGTTGAACCTCGCACCTGTGATACTAGCATTCCCATCCCTCTAATCCATTTACCAGCAGAGCCGCATGCCTATTGGCCATCAATGTCACTAATATAGTGTAGGACGTTTCACATTTAGGGTCCATTTATTTGAAGGAAAACTATTTTTGAGAAATTATTTTCCGACTTTCCGGTGTTTGAATGACGGAAAACATTCTTTATGGACTAAAACAACAGCATACTCAGATTGGGGGAAAAGAACTTCTTTTTTTAACAAGAATGAAATCACTTTCCCTACACCCCAAATAAATGAAAACTAACCATTTTCTTTGAAAAAAAATTTATGAAAAAAATTTCTTTATCATGAAATTTTCAGTGAAACAAACGCACCCTTTAATTCTCTTCCAAATTCCGTAAATTGACTAACATGGCATTTTGCTTTGAGATATCAACCAGAATTTCAGTGAAAGAACTACAACTCCGACCAAACGTGTATCTTTTGCCGCGCACGGTAGTCCCTCTGGTGGTTAGATAAATCCCAATCATTGATTTATAAAATGAATACTTTATATACGATTGAGATTTGTCGAGACACCGAGTTAAAGGTAAATAAAAAGCAGACACTTAAGAAGACAGGCCTCATCTAATCTGTCTTTCAGTAATATAGCTGTGGGCAGAGAGAGAGAGACTAATGACTAGTCCTTGGCAAAAATATATGTATTATAATTGTAATATTTTATCATTCTCCACATTGACAACATGATATTAGTTAAGGTCAAATTTGCCCCGAAAACTTTAACGGCGAAAATATGAGCGACCTCTGATTCTTCGTCCTGGAAGTCCTCATGAAGTGAAAATTGTCGTTACTGAAAATTTGCTTTTAAGGATGAAAAAATGTTCTTTCTAAAATGAGACACAATCTCTCTATGATTGCACGTCGATAATGATCTTTCTCTAAAGTCCAAAACACATCCAATGAATATCATGATCACAAAGGAAGCCAAGTCCCTGGTCCCCCCACAACAAAACGAAGGACACTTTCTTGTAGCAACAACTAAAACAAACTGAGCACATTAAGCGAGCTTGAAGGATGATGTTAGACGCAGTTAGGAGCATCTTGTGTTAAAGTTAGACGTACCAAACCAAAGCCTTGCAGCTAGATTGGTCACTATCATTCACTCAAAGTTGCAACTTTGCTTTTGTCTTGTCGATATTGTTATTTAAAAGCAGTGCTATTATTTTGCTTCCACTTTCCATCACATTTGAATTCTTTACATTGAGGAAGAGGTGTGCTGTGACGATACATACTAATGATGACTTCCTCAGGAAGGTACCTTCTTCAAGAAGAAAATTTCCAAAGTCATCTTCAGGAAGTTATCTTCTTTATGAAGAAAATTACAAAATTACTCTACTAACTTTACTTCCCACTGTAAATATCCACCTGAGAGACTTGCTCGGTCCCGCACACCCCACCACCACGCCTCCCCTCTCCACCGCACACACTGCCATTGTTCCTTCGGAGGCCATCACCGACCTCATATCTGAGGCTGGCGATGGCCACCGCGCTGGCTCAAGGTCGGATCAAGGTCGTGGCCACCATGTTCAAGCTTTGTTACCGAGCTTGCGTAACTGGCGAGCTTGCCACAGAGGCTCACAACCAGCCATGGCCCTCACAAGCTCAAGGTTGACCTCACATAGCCTTAGCGATCACGAGCCACAAGCTCAGGCTGAGGTCACGTGCCCTCGCTATCCCAAGCCACGAACAACCACGCCACAGACAGAGACGGGGTGAGGGGAGAGGTGTGTGGGCAACAAGCAAGAGGGAGGGTGATGCCGTCGGCAACAACATCGGACTATGGTGTCGACCTAGGGGTAGCTCTCAATCGTTGATGGATATAATTACTCAAAAAGTTATAAACATATTGTACGGATATCAATTTAATATTGAACATTTCAATTTGATCAATTTAGTCATAAACCTTTAAACGATTTGCCAATGCAGTTCTTTTAGCCAATTTTGATCGGAATTCGTTGACATGTGTGTTGGCCGTCTTACATGGGCGTTGATGTGGATAATTTTTTTAAGTTTTTTTAATTTTTGTAAGTTTTTTTCTTTTTTTTCCTTTTCTTCTTTCCTTTTTCCTTTTTCTGTTTTTCTTGTTTCTTCGAGCCAGTCCATGACCTTAGTAGATGCCACGTAGGAAATCTGATGTCCATGTCAGCGATTTCCGGCCAAAAGTGGCCAGAATGACTAAATTGACAAATTGTCAAAAATTTTATGACTAAATTGGTCAAATTGAAAGGTTTTAGACTAATTAACATTCGTATAATAAGTTTAGAACTTTTTCTATAATTTTCCCAACGTTGATGTGTTGTGTTATTAAGTTTGAGGAGAGAGAAATAATAGGAGAATAGAGTGGGAGAGGGGTTTCGGTATAGATTTTGAAGTAGATATATAAAGAGAGTAAATGTAGAATATATGGCTATCACGAATACCAATATCATCAAGCCAAATGATAAAATCACAATCATCTTTGTTTCATTTCATTTTGTGAAGGCCATTCAATACCACCTGCTCTTTCGTAGAATGAATCACAATAGAGGCAAGCAAGAGACATGAATATGTGCTGACTAAAAGGATGAGAGGAGACATGAAAGGGACTCAAATTTATTGAAATGAAGAAATCAACAAGCAACAAGTCTATGTGTTGAACACATTAGACCACAGATACCACCATACTAGACCACCAACCTCATCAATCTTTCTATACCCACAAAGATAAAGACCCCAGGATAGCCCTAAAAAATTGACTTATGTATCTTTCACCAAGTTACTACGAGTAGTAATTAACACGAGAAATTTGGAACTCGATCACATGACGGTGCACCCAGTGGCATTTTCTTCGCTAAAGTAATCACATCGGCTCACGCGGTAACCTCTGTTGCCACCCGGACACTCGCAAGCCGGTCTTCCACATCCATCATCGCACATCACTGGCCTCCCCAGCCCAGGAAAGGAACCTCTGTTCCCACCTTGACACTGATCAGCTGGTCTTCCACATCCATCATAGCACATCCCTGGCCACCCCTGCCCAGGAAAGAAACCTCTGTTCCCACCTTGACACTCATCAGCTGGTCTTCCACATCCGTCATAGCACATCGCTGGCCTCCTCCGGCCACAAAAGCATGGTCCCCCACCATACCCTCCATAATATGGTGGACAACAGCACACCCCTACCATCGGATACACCGGCACCATCGGATAAGCTGGCACTGGCGGGAAGCCCACCATCGGCGTTGGCGCCTTCGGGCGTGGCTGCGCGGGCGGCTGCTGAGGAGGCTTCGGTGGAGCAGGTTGGGGGTTTTCCGGGGGTGGTGCTTGATCCGGCTTAGGAGCAGGCGGTTTGGCATCTCCTTTCGGCGGCTCAATGATCACGTCCTTGGGCTTCTTGGTATCCTTTGGTTTCTCTTGCTTCTCGGGCTTCTTCTCAGGTTCCTTGGACTTGTCGGGCAGGATCTCGACGCTCAGCACCGTCTCGCCGCCCTTGCAGATGATCTTCTGCCGGATCTTCTCCGGGCTGCAGCACACCACAGCGATCAACACCATGTTCTGCTTTTCATCGTATATCTGGTCTCGGATTTCTCTTGTTCACAAATTAATTCATAGCAAACTCAATTGAATTAAATTAACAATAGTAATTACAAATCAAGAAATGATAACAATTTGAAACTAAAAGTAGGGGAAGCAATAAAAAAACCAGAGAGAGAGACTCACGGGGAAATTTACAGAGAAGTTTCTTGATCTTCTTGTAGCAGCGCGAGCACTGCAAATCCACCTTTATCAACATTCTGGTCACCTGCAACAAACAAGAACAATGCAAAAATCAATAGAGCCATGTGTATCAAACGAAAAAGCGAAGAATAATTCGAAGTTCTCCTTTTCCTAATCGTTTGCAGGGAAAGTAACAGGGGGAAGATGCAAAACAGAGAAATGAACGAGATGGACCCAACAAAATAATAAACCAAATGGAGAGATTATTGTTCTGAAGAATCACAATCATAGAATGATTAAGAAAAACGACACAGAAAAGAAAAGGCAGGATTCAAGAGAGATGAGTTAGAGGAAAGAGGAGGATTCACCTTCTCTACCATGGCTGTGGGAGAGACAAGATCTGGAGAGCTCCAAAAATGAGCGAAGGGGAGTGTGAAGTGGTGAAGGAAGGAGCGAGGGATAGATGGAATATGAATGATAGAGAACGAGAACAGGCTGGTTAAGAAAGAGAAAGCTCCCTATATATGCAATAGCTCATCTGCTTCCATCTTAGGTTTCTGAGAAACTTCTGTATTTGACTTAGAGTCGCATGATGAACAGGAGTCAACCAAGAAGTGTACGGCAAACTTGTATTTTAGTGAAGCTAGGAACGAGGAACTCGACCGTACGTATCTTAGTTCTCGTGTCACTGTCACGTTGAATACTAGGAGAATCATGCGTTAAACTCATGACGTTCACAGTATTACATCACCTCCATTGCTGGTGGGCTTGCAGTCCGCGGCAATGATGGGGCTATGAACAGATAATGCATGTGTTTTATCTTCTATCGTCGAAAGAATTACATCAGAAGAACAGGAACAGCACCAAGGCATGGCTGCAATTTCCATCACTTTGCTTTCTGCATTGAAATTTTCAACACGCGCGTTGAGAATTTTGTTCCTTACACTGTCGTTTTGCTCATGTGATTTCGATCCTTTTGATTGTTGTTCTTGCATTGAATTTGGTTTCAACGATTCTTGGCACATGAAGCTGGGTTTCGAGGGAATTCATAGGTCACTTTGCTGGGGTGAACTGCATTGTTTGACATTGTAATGCTTATTAGCTCGGTACATGGAACTAAAATTGTATGGACAAATCACCTAAGGATGTCGAGCGATACAACACAAGAACAAATAAATAGAGGAAATAAATGGTGCACCAAATTTAAGTGGCTCGAATATGACATGCATACTCTAGGAGAAGAGAAGCACAAGATTCCAATAAACATCGAACGATACGATAGAGAGTATTAACTTTAAACTTAGAATAGAAAAAAAAACCTTTATTGAGCTGTCTCCGATATGGGTTAGGTGATTGCCCGTATTCTCCAAACCGACTCCAAACCGACGTTACATGATTTGATATGAAGTCCAAGTTGGACCTTGAACCCGTGACATAATTTGATTTAAACTACATCAAACTCCAAAAAAAATTATGTTAGACCTTCCTCATATGGCATATCGATCTCCACAAAGTGTACATCATGAAAACAAAGAATTGTGGAAAGAAACAAAGAATGATTCTCCATCGACAATAAGACCAAATTACACGTTCACGATTTGGTTGGCAATGTATGTTAGAAAAATCTTGGGCTTTGGACAAAAATGATTGGGGGACTGCGAATGTAGTAGTGGAATTCATCAGTGTAAAGAACAAGAAGCTTAGTTTATCAAGTCACTGTCCATTTAGTTAGGAAGTCGCCATCCACAGTACAAGGTAAGATAGATTAATTCTAATATGAGTTGGAAAAATGTTTCTCCTTCTAATTTAAGATATGGATTTCGTTAGGCAATTGTTTCTCCTTCTAATATAAGATATTAAGCTTATAGTATACGACCTCTAGATATAATTTGTGGTCCACCTTTCAACTTGCAAGTGCGTGTCTGCTGATTATATCTTAATGCCGTAAAAGCTTCGTGCACATGGGAAAGTTCCCTTAATCAAATACTAGTGTTGAGCACGCGTTAGAGGGGTGTGCAAAAGCGGATCAATATTGTAAGGAAGAAAAATAGATTGAGAATCACCTCCAAAAAGAAAAGAAAAAAAATGGATAGTTGTTTTTAAGTGGAGCAAGTGAAGGTAAGTTGGTGGATGAAATTTGATATGTATTTTTGGAATGAATAAAAAGTAAGACGAAATGGTGTTTTGTTTTAAAATATATAGAATTGTACTCTTTATTTGCCCAACATAATATGCCTTAGTAGCCAAATTGGTAGGCTCATGCAAGCATGAAAATAGTACATTAAGAGACAGTAATATCGGACATATCGACGTCTTATTAATAAATCATTCAGTGTATACATTTTAGGGCTTGTCTTCTATTTTCTATAAACAGAGATGTTTGATTTTTCACTTAGATAAAGTAAAAGAATTATTTGATTAGCCGGCGATACCACATAAGTTGCCATGAAATAAGTATTACATGATACAATTTTATCTAAAGTCCACTTAATTTAAAAAAGAAAAAAAAAAGAAAATAAGAGAGCAGCTCACAAGATTTAATTTATTAGTTTATCGTTCGAAATTTTTTTAATCTTACAAATTAATCAAATTTAAATAATGAATGAGGGATAATGATCTCAAGTTTTGGTCATTCAAAAGATTGAAACAAAATGACATTTGAAGAACATTTAATAGTAAGGAAATCCAAATTCACTCAAATAAAAAAAAATTAAATTTGTAAAAAAAAACTAAAAAGTCTTCTTTTCAAAATTTTCTATTATAGGTGAATTCACTTCAATTTTGAGTTGAAAATTCCACGCCATACAACTAGATAAATATCTTTATTTGGTATTTTCCATACTCAATAATGGATACCAACACTAAATAATACATAGGCAAATATCACCGACACTAACAACAAGAAGAAACTAAAAATTTGATAATACAATAATCAACCTATGTCCTTGCAAACCGCCGGCTAGCTATGTTGAAGGAGCTTGGGATAGATCTGGAAAATGAATCCTCAATGATTGTTATATGACTGGCCAGAAAAAACCCAAGTCTCCTCTTATTTCACGGAAAATGAATGATTTAGAAAATATTTTTCTAAAAATTATCGCTTGTATCGCCTGAAATGATTAATCAATGGCAAATGTTTCCATCATCGGCAATAATTTATATCAAACATTTTTGTGGACAATGAAAATAATTTTCGTTTATTTATTTTTGTGAGTGGTACAACGATCATTTTTTAAAAAATACCTCTAAAATCAATCGACTTTCGCAAAATAAAGGGACCCCTAATAAGATTGTGTTTCCCCCAACTCCTATACTCATTGTCACATACATTATCAGTGCAAGAATCTTTTGCTCGTGAGAACTTGATGACACGGAGGTGGACTAACGGCGAATTGGGCGCAACTCCTGCTAGAGCTCCTACGGCTCGTTGCTCAACAGCTAGCGATAAAAGACTTCATGGCCGTCCGTGGTGTCTGCACTTCTTTAGGGTCCTCCGCCGACGCCGGAGAGGAGCACGACGTGAGGAAGAAAGCCCCTTTGGCTCATGACTCTTGGGGGCAAGCCACCCTAACATGAGTTCTTTGTCGGACGGAGACCGAGGTGCATTATGTTCAATCCCCGCACTCCAGCGTCAAAGAAAGGCATGTTTCATGAATCATTTAGTGAAATCATCCATATTACTGTTAAAACATACTTCTTGCTATTAGTGAGAGGAGCGTATATATGTAGAGTATAGTATGATTCTTTAGTCTTTTAAACAAAAATATTGAACTATGTGAGACATCATTAAGAAAAGTTCGACACATCACTTACTTGAATTGATAATGTGCATTTTGAATGTAGCTAGTTAATAACCTAACTATTATGAAACATGCTCACTGTTTTCTCACGTATATTTATAGAAGTACGCATATGGCTTGAAAGATGTGGGATGAAATATGGAAAATTGTCTAAAAAGTCTTAAACTTACTATACGGCTGTCAATTAAATTCTAAATTTCTTAATTTGGCTATTGTAGTTCTAAAACTTTTAACGATTTTCTAATATGGTCCACTCGGTCAATATTAACCAGAAGTCGTTGATGTAGTGGTCTAGTTAGCTGCAACTATCCTATCGAGGCTAACGTGGAGGATATTTGCAATTTTTACAAATTTCTGAATTTTTTCCTTTTTTTACCTCTCCTTTCTTTTTTATTTTTTCTTTTTTCGGTGACCAGCAAAGGGAAGTAGGAAACGAAAAAAAAGAAAAAGGAAAAAAGGAAATGAAAAGAGAAAAAATCAAAATTTAAAAGAAAATTACAAAAATAGTCCACGTCAATGCCAATCGACCTCCCACGTAGGACGATCAGTCCTGACTGAACCGCCACGTTAGCGTTTTCCAGCTAAAATTGGTTGAAATAACTATATTGATAAACCATCAAAAGATTTTGGACTAAATTAGCTAAATTAAAAAGTTTATAACTGAATTAGCATCCATACAATAGGTTTATGACTTTTTTGTGATAACCCCCAACCTTGACACTCCATTTTCTTTTTCTAGCATGATTGTTATAATTAACATGATGTAGCATTTTCCTAATTTATGTCATCTTCCAAATTCCTTAAATTGACAAACATGGCAATTTGCTTTGAGACATCAACCACAACTTTAGTGAACTGAATGGTGGACGTAATTGATCAATACATTTGGCAATTTGCGAGGCCATGAAAACTTCTTTAGATGGCAACTACAATTATGAACTTCGTTTTCAATTATTGACAATTTCTACACGGGCGGCACTATTTTCACCCCATACATGACTAAATCCATCCCATTTTCACTAAAAAGACAACATTGCCTTCGATCATTCACTTGCAATTTAAAGTTGTGATTCCATTTCTTTTTTTCTTTTTTCTTTCACTTCCATTTAGACTTTAGTTGCCATAATTAAGCATTTCACATATTTTGTTTTGGTCTATTGTGGGTATCCCATATATATTGAAGGTACTATGTTTTCTTTTTTATTTTTAGATTTTAATTCTATAGAAATAAGTTTTTTCGAAAAGAAAAAATTTCCAAGAAAATATATATCAAGTCTCTCTATTTACAACATCAAAGAATTTGTATTTTTTTGTTTTTTGCTACTGGCGAGATACTTTAGACATAGCATGTAAGACGTTATAAGTATGTAGGAGTATACTAAAAACATCGATGTGAAAAAGTTATGCATAATAAGGCATCTTAATATTTTTATTGTAAACACTTCATGCATGCTATTAATTTTTGTAATCCAAAATGATGAGATTTCATTGGCATTTGAAGAAAAAATTATTTTGTGCAATTTTTTTTATAATTAAATGAAAACATTAATAAATGAATCCCAACCCACCTAGATTTGAGCAGAAACTCCTTCAGCACCAATTGCTCCAAATGCCCAGCCTAACATCTACTCGGACTTAATTTCATGTGACGACAACTTTTCGCCGAAAAGATAAATCCAGAACTCATGAAATACGCGCCGATTATTTAATTAACAATTTAGCTTAACGAACACTTTGATGTGGTCGTCCTTTGCGACATATCCAATCGACGATTCTCGAGTTTCGGAATTCCAGATCTCGTGCCACTTGCAAGTGTCCCAACTTGCAAGTGGCATGACATGTACTGAGGACAGATTGACAT